ATGCATGTGCACAATTTGAACTCAAAAGGAGAGAAGAAGATATAAAGAACAAAAAATGCATGGAAAAAAAGAAGAAAAAATAAAGAACAGAAGACAGAAAAAGAAAATAATAATAAAGAAGTGATTTTCAAGCTTCATCCTGAGCATAAGACAAATGTAGTAAGTCTCCACCCCACCCACTACAAGATTACAGATTTTATTGGCGGGGAAGAAGGCAGAGCCTCCTCGCTGACAGGCCGTAGATCGCATCTCTCTGCGGCTATGGTCCGTGCTCTTTTGTTGGAGAGCCCTGATCATTACAGTTAGGGGCTGAAGCTGCCTTGGAGGGGCGGTGGAGTAAGGGGAAGCCGCAAGCCAGGTTGAGGGGAGCCGCATCTCCCCCCCTGGGCTTGGTCTTTTTTCCCCCCAAAGATGACTGCAGCGGTGGTTTAAAATGGCCACCCCGAAGAGGAGGACTCAGCTGGATTAAGATTTGTGCAGGAGGGAAGAAAGAGGTGGAGAACATCTGAACGGGGACAATTGGGTGATGCAACTAAACAAAAGTACCCCGGGATTAAGGTAACATGGAATTTTTAAGAAAAGAAAAGTGAGCGATGAAATTACAAAGGGACAGGAAAAAAAATACGAAAATATTTCTGACAGCTAAGCGGGGCTTCGAACCGGGAAAGGAAGAAGCCAGAACCAAAGATTTAACTAAATTGGACTAAAATATTTTGGCAATAAACAGGCATAAAATAAAGCTGGACTTAAGATTGTGACCTTCTGACGAGCAAAGTCAATGGGGGAAGCCGGATTCACTTAACAACCGTGTTAGTCATTTAGCAACTGCAGTGGTTCACTTAAGAACAGTGGCAAGAAAAGTCGGAAAAAGGGGACAAGACTCACTTAACAAATTTCTCATTTAGCAACACAAATGTTGGACTCAATTGTGGTCAGAAGTTGAGGACCCCCTTGTATTAGAAGCATGCTGTGTAGGTGGGAAGGCCTTTCAGATCCAGGATGGGTCAGAAGAAAGTAGAAAGTTTTTCTTTGAGTCCCGTAAGAAAACCTTATGGGAATGGAGACTGCCAAGCTGTTAAATGGTAAGGAAGCAAGAGGAAACAGAAGGAAATTGTTTATGATGGTGAACAATATCTATTAACACTACCTGTTTTACACACCCTTTATTTTTAAGATTTCCTGTCAGAGCAGGGGGTTGGACTAGATGACCTCCAAGGCCCTTTCCAGCTTCTATTCTGTCCTGTTCCATTCCATTCCATTCCATTCCATTCCATTCTATTCTGCATTAGATTCTCTTTTCTCTTTTTTCTCTTTTCTATTCTCTTTTCTCTTTTTTATTTTCTATTCTATTCTGCATTTTATTCTATTTACTATTTTATTTTCTATTCTGTTCTATTCTGTTCTATCCTATCCTATCCTATCCTATTCTATTTTCTATTCTATTCTATTTTCTATTCTATTCTGTTTTCTATTCTGTTTTCTATTCTGTTTTCTTTTCTACTCTACTCTACTCCACTCCACTCCACTCCACTCCACTCCATTCCATTCCATTCCATTCTACCCTGAGTTATCTTCATTTCAAGGAAGCATAAATTCCAGGGAGAGTTGGGAAGGATTTAATCTCCAATCTTATTTAATGAAAAGAACAACATCGCTAATACTGTGGCCTGGATAAATAAAATAATGATAGGACAGCCTATGAATCACACAGTTTTAAATGCTCTTGTTTGGATGCTACTCGCATTCAGATAGCACCATCTAGTGCACAATATTGAGAGCATGAGAACAGCAACCAGAAGTCTTGATGTTTCATTGTTTTTTTGGACAAGACAGCTAGTGAAATGCTTTAACTTTTTATCTTTTAAAAAAGAAACAAGGAGCCACCTAAGTCAGTCGTCGCCAACCGGTGGACCGAGGACCGCTGATGGTCCACAAGAAAATTTTGGTGGTCTGCAGAGACATGTCACCCCCAAAGCACCCCCCAAAGCAATCAATCCAGGCTGCTTCTGCTTTTTCTGCAGAAACCCTGGGAAAATCCCCCAAAAAGTCCGCAGGAAAATCTCCCACCCTGTTTTCCTACCGATCGGTCATTCTTTATTTGGGATTGCAGGATACCGTCTCTCTCTCTCTCTCTCTCCTCTTGAGAACAGAGCTGAAAAGCAGGTTAGGAATGTGGCTGCCTTGGAGGGAGTTGGGTGTGTGTGAGGGACCTGTGTGTGTGTGAGAGAGAGACAGAGAGTGGAGGGAGGGAGGGAAGGAGGGAGGGAGAAAGAGAGAGAGAGAGAGAGAGAAAACATCACCGCCATCCCTCCAAGGCTAGATTGGATTTCCCTCTCTCTCTCTCTCCCACCAATGTCAGCAAGCCACCGTCACTCAAAATTCATATTAGTGGTCCACAGGATTTAAAATTATGAGTTCGGTGGTCCCCGAGGTCCAAAAGGTTGGCGACCCCTGACCTAAGTTTTGCCCCCGTAAACCTGGGGCAAAATGCAAAGTCCCAACCCCATTGAATATAACTGCCCTATGCATTCCTCACTTCTGTGTCATCTCTTCTAGGCCTTGATCTCTCTCCCTCTCCAACTGTGGGGTTGCCCCTTGGCTATCTCTGGTGTAACATGTGTACATGTACAGCACATCCTGGCAGCAGAAGCAGGACACCCTTTCAAGAGGGCCTCTGGCTATTTCAGGTCAACTCTGTCCCATTTGGTTCTGAGGGTTCTTTGTTTTTTTGTTAATAATAACTCCCCTGTTTGTTTTGTCAGGATTCCAAAGAAGCTCGGGTTGAAGGAAGGAAGGCTGCAAGAGCTGTTCCGTGGAGAAGAGGCAACAGGATGTTCTAGGGTGGAAGCGGGATTGACCACAAAGGGCAATAAAGGTAAATGGACACAGGGTAAACCAAGGACCAATTTATGCAAGCAGCATTAAATTTGCAAAGTGCAATCTGAAATCCAGAATCTCTGGTTCCCCCCTTTCACCCACTTTTTGCTATCACGGAGTCAGAGCTGGTTGTTTAAAGCAGCAGCCACCAACCAGTGGGCTGGGGACAACTGGTAGTCTGTGGAAAAGTTTTGGCGGTCCCCAGAGAAATGTCACCCCCAAAGCACCCCCCAAAGCAATTAATCCAGGCTGCGCAGGGACACAGGGCTGTGCTACCCACATGGCTGCAGGAACACAAGGCTTGCGTCGCTTGCACTGTGAACAACACGAGGTAGTGAGGGGAGGGGAGAAAGGGCAGAGGGGGGGAACTTTCCCCACTTGCCCCATGCATCTTGCCTGGCCACCGGTCTGCTTCTTTCTGCTTCTTTCTTCTTTTGACTGCACGCAAGGAAAAGTCTTTCTTTCTCTCCCCCAAACTCCGCCAGAAATGAGTCTTTGGGACCCTGCAAGATATCCTGCTGCAAGAGGCTGCACCGGTGCGACAAGTCTCACAAAGACTCATTTCTGGTGGAATTTGGGAGAGAGAAAGAAGGACTTCTGCTGCTTCTGCTGCTTTCCTTGCATGAAGCCAAAAGTCTCTCTCTCTCTCTCTCTCTCTCTCTCTCTCTCTTCCTGAGAATGGAGCTGAAGATGGTATCCTGTGATCCCAAATAAAGAACGATCGATCGGTAGAAAAACGGTGGGGGATTTCCTTGCAGACTTATATTGGGATTTTCCAAGGGTCTCTGGTCCGCGGGATTTAAAATTATGGGTTTGGTGGTCCCTGAGGTCCAAAAGATTGGCACCCCCTGGCTTAAAGGGCAACCAGGAGTTGTTGTTAAGAGGCAAAACAGGGAAAGAAGATAACACTTCAGTTAGTTATTAAATCTATTTATTTTTTTAAATTTATATGCCTCCCACCTCGCTGTTTGAGGTCACTCTGAGCGGCTTACAATACAATTTAAAAAATAGGTATATTAAAAAGAATTGGAGTATAAAAATAGATAAAAATTACAAAATATTAAGTAGAGACTAAATGACCACGGGTTTAGAGTAGAATAGTAGTGGTGCCTTCTCTTACCGCACCAACCAGCATACAGCCTACAGCTTCTTCATAAGGGCCCCAAACCAATTGGCAGAGGCAATTTTAAGGCTCTTCCTGGAGGCCTGAAAAGTGGGAGAAGATCTCATCTCCAGAAGCCAGCTGTTCCAAAGGCCAGGGACCCTGGCAGAAAAGGCTCTTCTATATCCCACCAGCCAAAATCCTTGGATGATGTGGTCCGCAGTAGGTCTTTCTACTAGAACAAGTGGGGTGGGCCAGTTCCATTGGGCAAGATAGTTCCTCAAATATCCCGTACCCATATCAATAGAGCTGATGAGTGGTACGGTGGCCTTGAGGTGGAGCTCTCGCCTCACAATCAGGAGGCTGTGAGTTCAATCCTAGGTAGTGGCAGATATTTCTATCTCTGGGCCCAATGAGAATATATTTACTGAACAAAACTCCACATTGGCAACAGGAAGGTCATCCAGCCATTAAACACGCTGCTAGCTCCATTCAGTTGCCTAGACTCCACCCTGCAAGGGATTATCGGGTCGTTGAAAGATGATGATGATATCAGTACAGCTGAGCTGGACATCCTAGGTGTAGCGTTCTAAGACTAGGTTGCTTTGTTCTTTTAGAAATTTTAGGACTCCAATCATGTTCGTGCTGATCTGGGCAGTTGTGATATGGAGTCTCAAACATCTGTAGAACTCCACCTTAAATGAAGGAATCATAGCCCTTCTTGTCTAGAGACTAGCAATCAAAAAAGGCAAGAATGCTTCAGGGTCCAAGAACATTGCTTTGCCTGGGAGAAATGCCAAGCTACTGTATAGTGAGAACTGAAAAATCTTGGTGATTTTTTTTTTATTGCACATATTTTAGAAGCAGACTCCAGTATTATGTGTGCAACACCATATAAATCCAGCTTCTAACTTCTTCCACCCAGTTGAAAACATAATGGTCAGATATAATGTCAGCTATATAGCTGCCAGTAACCGTCCTTGACTTATTCCATTATCGCACTTAAATGTTCCCCAGATATACAAACATTTGATCTGGGGAAAAAACACGCAGATGTAAACACACGACAGAACTTTCCTCTGCTTTTCGGTCCTGTTTGCTAAATCTTCATTTCCAGAAAAGAACAGTGGATCTGAAATTCTATTTTACTGGTGAGTTAATTCACCTTTATTTTATTTTGCTTTCCTCCAGATAACCCAGCGTCCCACTAAATTATAAAAATAATACAATACGATTGGGTCAGCAAAGGTGAATTTGAGTTCACAGCATTTTCTTTTAACTAATCTTACTGGATGGAATGGATTAGACAGCATCAGGGTATTCAGTACTATCCTACGCTGTGTAGTAGTTCATTTGTGGGAAATAATTTGAGAATGTTTTGTAGCCAATCTAGTGAATAATTCTCAGGCTGCAGTTGAACTTTTCTAAATCTTGTGTCCTCTATCTTGTCTAGAAGAAATGAGAAGCTTATAGATCAGTGTTCCGCAACATTAGTAAAATTAAAAGATGCGGACTTCAATTCTCAAGATTCCCTAGCCTGCCATGCTAGCTGGGGATTTTTGGTGGTTCACATGACTTAAAGTGGCCAAGGTTGAGAAATACTACGTTAGATCTTGATATATTGGATTCCAACTCTCATTATCCCTGATCATTGACCACGATCAATAGAGCTTCTGATTGTTTATGCAGTCTACATGCAAATTTTCTTTTTTTTCCCCCTCTTAATCGCAGAAACGAGAGTGGAGACAAATGGCAAGATTCCGAGATTTTTTGTAGATTAGGAATTCTTGTTTAGCTCATAGACGATTGCCTCTTTGCAACATGAAGCATTGGTTAGGTTCATAAATCACATTTGGTTGTAATATGATGTTTTTGCTTGGAATCTAACAATTTCAGAAGACAATTGTGATCATTTGTAAAGCATGAAATAGGGATTATGTAGTTAAAGTCATTCTCATTTTCTTTATACTGCTTTGTTGAGACATTGAGACATTCAGCTATTGTGTTAAGATAATAGCAATGGGTTTTATAATATGCAGGTTTTATGGCACTTCAGCAAGGTTGCTATGTAGACATTATAAATGACTAGGGTGGAAATGATTCTAATTCTAAGAGCTGTGAGGAGTAACATGATATTAAAGAAACCCAGAGATGCTTCCCTGCAACTAATATTTTACAGAAAACCTGCATAATTCTTCCCATCAGCATTACTGAGTTGCTCAGTTTACAGCATTCATTACAAATATTTTTAATAGATTGTATAGATCAGGACTAATGGAATACATGTTGCTTGTTGAATGACTTTTCTTGTGAAGCTTCCAACAGAATTGCTGCTGTAGTAGGCCACGCTTTGCTAATTGGGTTTCCTTTTTAGCTAAACTTATGTTTTGGTCAAAATCACCTATCAGTGTATTCACCATGAATGGTGAAGGCCATTGTCAACCATATCCTTTTCTTTCCCCAGAATTGGGAATTACTTGATCTGACCATGAGGCATTTCCTTTGGATATTGTTCTTCCAAGGTAAGGAAGCAGGTTTGATTTGCCTCAATCAGTATGGTTTAAAACACATCACACTCCATTGCCCGCTCGATTTATGGTGAAACAGGGTCTAGAATTTGGGTTAATAGGGGTAGCGTTAAGATTAGAGCAAATTACATGGAGTCAGTTGGGTAGATGGTATTTTTTTCATGTTTGCTCAGGATCCGAATTAACCCGAGCATCTTGAGGCTAGGATACTTTGGAATCACCTTGCTATTGCAAACTGGAACTGTAGCTCTTGTGCTTGCCAGAATCCATTGATCCCAATAGTCATAGATGGTGATGACATGTCATCTCCTTTATGTAGAGCAAACCTACATCAATTCTATATGAAGGCTGAAATGACATTTATTAATACTGGCCATAATAACAGAATCTTGCAACTCTGATTCTGCATTCTCCTTCTACTCTTGCATTGAATTAGGGTACTGTCTGTTGGTTTCCCCCCTTGTTGCTTTGGTAATAGATCCTGCCTTATTTCTGCCAGGGTAAACTTCCTTGTTGTCTACATAGTGTTTACATTCTGGAATGCTCTTCACTTTGAGCTTCATGAAGACCTCATGATTGATCTTTCAGGCATTTTTGAGCTCTTGGATTTAATTGAGGCCTTTCCTGGATGTATATAGCATGTATTGGTTTTCTGCATCAATACCAAAAAGATGACCGTGATTTTTCTTGTGTTTCTCCATTGTAGGCTTTTGGTGTTATGAATCCCCACTGAAGATAAACCCCAAAGTTTTGGTGGCCTGGACAGGATCGTGTGTTTTAATCCCATGTCAGATTGAAGAAAGAATGCATTCTAAGAAAATTCTTGCCACTTCTGTGGTTTGGTATTTTCAGCCTATTTTGGATATGAATTTATTCGACTATGTTGGCACTGTCTTATACAATAATTCCAGAATCCTAAATGAGCATGCAAACCTACCGGCTCTTGATTTTCAGGGGCGAGTGAAGTTTGTTGGAGATTTAACAAAGGGAAATTGCAGTTTGATGATTACTCAGCTCCAGAAAAAAGACTATGGCACATATGGGATAAAAGTAAATGCATCTGTAGAAAATCAAGCTAGTAGACAGATACTTTATGATTCAGCTACACTGAAAGTTTCTGGTAAGAACTTTGGCAGAACTTTTCATTTCTTCTCTGACCTGTATAGATATTGCTCCTTAATTTGGATATAATCTCCATCTTATTTGACCCTGTAATCCCTTGTGGGTGGAGTCTGGGCAACTGGATGGAACTGAATGTTTAATGGCCAGATGCCCTTCCTGTCACCAGTGTGGAGTTCACAGCAGATATATTCTCAGTGTGCCCAGAGAGAGAAATATCTGCCTCTACCTAGGATTGAACTCAGCCTCCTGATTGTTAGGCAAGAGCTCCACTTCTAGGCCACCACATCACTTTATATCATATCCATCATCTTGAAGTCTTATTTGCAAGATCTCCATTGAGGGTTTTCCATTCAGAAATGTTGAGTTGCTATCACAGCAGAGAAAGAGCACAGAGAGCTACTCAGAGAATAGAAATGCATTCGTCTATATCTTGCTGCAGACTGGCAGAAAGATGTGATTTATGGAGAGTCAAGCTGCCGATGTTAAAATAATTTCTTGTTGTCTAGGAGCACCTAATAAAGTTAAGCAAATCCTAAAGCACCTTGTTGCTCTGGTTTTCTTTCCAACCTTTTCAACCTTATTACATTGTTCTGCTGAATTAATAAACATGCCATTTAGCATGTTGTGTTCCATACTGTACCAGAATTCTTATTTATCAGGCCACAGATTTTCTTCCTATTTTTTTTATCCCTTGTTATTTTCTTGGTACAGATTTGTTTCCAAGTCCCACGTTGGAAATCTTGAAATGTCAAGAAAGATGGGCCCTGCAAGTGGTTTGTTCGGTGCCTTCCCATTGCCCAGAAGATCCAATAACAATGAATTTCAAAGGTCTAGAGAAGTATTATTTGACTGCAGAAACTATGATGATGGATGATGGAGTACTCCGGAGGATAGTCACCATTCAACCAACTGCAAGACCTAAAAAGAAAGCAATAACCTGCCAATTGAGCAACAAGGCCATGAAGTCATCCATCACTCAGGAGCTAGAAATGAAAAGTGAGTGTGAAGTTGAGAGGAAATGAACAACCTTGGGTGGGTTTTTCTGACAAGAGTAGACAATTCGTCACATCTCACCAAGCTTGATTCCTGGTTATGAATAAGGCCATGAAGTTTTTTTTTTTTAAAGCAGCTGAGATAGCATTTGACACGGTCTCTTTCAGGGACATTAAAAAAATTACAGCATGACTGCATTTTGGGGGAATATACATTATGTTCTGAAATATTATCACTGTTTTATTTTCTATACAATAACTTGGTCCTCAACACCAATAAGACCAAGGAGCTTATAATGGACTATAGAAGGAACAGATCAGACATCCAGCCCTTGCTTATCAATAGAGACTGAGCAGAGCAAGTGGCCAGTTTTAAGTTTCTGGGTGTTGTCATAAAAGAGGACCTGATCTGGGGTGCTCACATTGCAGCCCTGGTCAAAGGGGCCCAGCAGAGATTAAACTACCTGAGACTTCTCAGCAAACAACAACTGAATGAAAAACTGCTGGTGACCTTCTACTGCTGCACCATAGAGAGTATTTTAACTTACTGCACCTCTGTATGGTTTGCCAATTGCACAGTGGCAGATAGGACAGCGCAGAAGATCATTGGTTGCCCTCTCCCCTCTTTGGAAGAGCTTTAGAGCTCTCGCTGCCTTAAGAAAGTTCAAAACATTCTCAAAGATCCATATCATCCTGGGCACCCTTTTTCTTTTAATTATTACCATCTGGCAGATGGTACAGAATAATAAAAACAAATAGGCTGAAAAACCGCTTCTATCCCAGGGCAGTAGCTCTTTTGGATTCTGCTGTATAGTGCAGTGTTGGTGTGATGTCGAGGGTTTCCGGTTCAATTGTGTAGAATGTGAAGGATGTGTGTTTGTGCTTTATTTTCAGTCATAATGTACACTGAAGATGATATTTAATTTGGTTGTATGAGGTGCAATGACAATAAACTAAACTAAACTAAACTAAACTAAACTAAACTAAACTAAACTAAACTAAACTAAACTAAAACTAAACTATACAAAGTCCCGCACTGATGTGTTGGCTTTTTTTTTTTTTCAGATTGTCCCAATGACGTCCAGGTTTCTGTTGTGAATAATCTGCCCACAAAAGAAGGAGATATTGTCACTTTGAACTGCTCTGTGGGTAGTAGTGTCTCTGGTTCCATCTCGTTCAACTGGTGGAAGATCAATCTCCATGGAGCTAATTTTAAAAACAGCAGTTTGAAGCTATTGACTTTCCCTGCACATTTTGGACCAGTGACATCTTACAAATGTGAAGCGTGTAATTCTTATGGCTGCACTTCATCTCCACTGCTCACAGTGGATATCTTCTGTAAGTATTACCAATTAGTTTTAATTGGCGGAGAGCCTTGAAACACCAATGACTGGCAAATACAACGTGTTCAGGAGATGAAGCCATTAGAAGAGGGAGATTGTAGGTGCTTCTCAACCAGTGTGAGTTAAAAGACACCCAAGTGCGATGGGATTTCCCTCTATCTATGTAGATAGCAGAAAAATCACAACCTATCATAGGTTAAAAAAAATAAAAGTTTGTTGTCCTTCCTGGAAAGACTCACCTGGCATCTGTACCAGTGGTGGGATTCAAAAAGTTTTATCACCGGTTTGGTGGGCGTGACTTGGTGCACGTGCTTTGCACACGTGCACACAATTTGTGTGCGCACATGTGCCAAATACGCACTTTGCACAGGCTCAGAGGCGTTCCAAGTCACCTCCTGCAAGCTTGCACTCCCCTGGTCGCTTCAGCAGCTACCATGCGGCACTCTTATGTGCCGCGCAAAGCAGCTGTGCTTCAAAAGCAGAGGATAAAGGTGAATATGGGAGCTCGGATGGGTGGGTGGGCCCAACAGCAGAGAGGTGGAGAGAACCAGTTTGATCTCCACTGCTCATCAGCACTACTGGTTAGGCCGAACCGGGCTGAACTGGTAGAATGCCACCACTGATCTGTACTCTCTCTGTGTGTATGTGTGCTTTTGAGTTATTGTTGACTTCTGGTCACAACCTGGACTACTCCTTGCATTTTTCTTGATAAAATTTCAGAATTGACTTGCCATTACCCTCATCCTAGGGCTAAGAGAGAGTGACTGGCTCACTAACTGGCTTCCTACCTGAGGCAAAACTCATGTTCTTCTGGTCTTTTCTAGCCCAGTGTCTTAATCACTATATCAAACTGGCACTCACTTGCCACGTATTTCAATCACAGTCCTAGTCTTCTTATAACTTCAGTATCTTATTGCTCTCTACAGAGGATCTGCAGTGCACAGGCCTATGTGTGACCATCTTACCTACAGTTACAACCAGTAATATGCTGGTCAACGTTTAACAACCAGTTCTGTCATCTCTACTGCTACCACTGCACCAGGTTGCCAGCCACAACATAGCTGATCATTACGTGTCCTGGCTCAGTTCTGTTCTCACCTGGCTTGCAAAATTCAGAAAATTTGAACAGTAGGTTTTACAAGCCAGTATGAGTCAGGTCCAACCCATCCTTGGTTACAATACATGAAAATCAGGTGAAGGGAAATGTTTTTGCAACAGGTGATGCTAATCTTATGCCTTTGTTTTATCTTGTCGCAGTTGCTCCCAGGGAAGTCAACATTTGGAGAAATCCAGGAGGCCAGATTGATGAAGGCATGAATGTTGTGTTGCACTGTGAAGTGGGAGAAGCAAATCCCACAAATCTCGCTTATACGTGGTATAAAGATGGCAAAATGATTTTATTGGATTCTCCCCATGCATACTTGAACCTTATAAACATAGATCCAGCACAATCTGGCAGCTATTGGTGTGAAGCCAGTAACAGTGTGGGCAAGACACTTTCTCCAACAATCACACTTCATGTTATCTGTGAGTAAAAGCATAGTATGACAGTGGATTTATGCATAATATGGCAATGGATTTATGCAAAGTATGGCAATGGATTTATGATCAAATCTGGGTTCTGTTATTAATCTTTAGTGATGGATGTTTCTGTAGCTTTAGTTGGACTTGGAGGTAAAGTTTCCCTTTCTTGGCGACTAAGACAGGAATCATAACTTGTTGATTAAAAATTGGCAGCTGGTGAACTTCCAGTTGAACTTCCCTGAAGACGGACTACTGACCGTGATTGTCCACGGCTTTGGTCTGTGCTTCTTCATTGGAGAGCCCCGATTGTCTAGATCTGGGACAGAAACTGTCTTGTAGGGGTGGCGGAGGAAGGGGAGACTGCCAGCTGGGTAGAGTGGAGCCGCATATCCCCTCCCTGGCTTGGCAAACACTCCCTCCTAAAGATATCTGAAGCAGTGGACTAAAATGGCCACCCTGAAGGGGAAGAGTCAGCTGGAATAAGATTGTGCAGGAGGAGCGGTGAAAAAGAGGACAGCAGAGAAACCAGGAGAATTTTGCAATAGGGTACCCCAGTTTTGAAATCTTTTAAAATTGTTAAAAAAGTAGATTTAAGTGGCGGACAAAGAAATTAAGAAAGAAAATTTCTGACAGATGATGTGGCTTTGTACCCAAAAGGAAGAAGCCGGAAGAAGAAATTTGTATTTGAAATAATTAAATATACAACCCTGACATCAAATAGATTTATTAAAGCTGGACTGGGCTGTGTCAAGGTGAAAAATAAAATTTGAAAATGAATGCTTGGATTTACTGATATTGGAACTTTAAAAGTTTGAATGAGTGAGAAAAATCGGGAAAAAGGAAAAGAATTGACTTTAAATACAGTGAAGAGTGCCATCTAGTGGAGAAGAGAATTGTTTATACATATCTCCTATTTTAAAATTTGGATCCATTGAAGATTTGCTTGAAACAAAAATAACTGGAATTAGGATATTATAAAAGAGGGACGTTGGAAAGTGAAAGGGAAAAGGGAAATTGTGGAAGTGTTTGGTGTTTTTGAATTACAACTTTAATTAATGGATATTGAAAAGTGGAACTAATCTGGAAATCTTTGGAAGAGGAGTCAATAAGAGTAAAACGTTGGAAAAACTTTTATAAACATTGTTTAAAGATGGCAGGAATGTTACTGGACCTTAAATTGGAACTTAAAAACATGAAAGACATGTTACAAAAAGAAGGAAAATCATTTGGTTTTGCATTGCAATTTTTGGAAATGAAGGTTTCAAAATACCAAGAACAACAAGAAGAGAAATCAACGCAAGAAGTGGCCCTCTTAAATGAACACTTGAATCAACAGAAACTTAAGCAAAGGAAGAATAGAAAGAGAATTAATAATAGATGGTCCGACGTTGTAATTAAAAGGGGGGTTATTCTAAAAACCGAACAAAATGAAAGGAAACAGCAGGAAAGGAAACTTCAGTGGGGAGTAATGAAACAGAAAGGAGATAGAAATTGGAGTGATAAAAAGAGGGCAAGAATGAAATGGGATTTGGAAAGAAAGGAATATGGCAAGCACATAACAATGAAATGCAATTGTTTAATTAAAAGGCACAGAGATAATAGTTGATTGAGAATTATAAGAAGGGATTCTGCAAGAGCAGAAGGACTAGTTTAAATAAATAAGAAAGGATAAGGTTGTTTAGAAAATAATGGAATATAGAATATTAAAAGGGGAGATAGGGACTGATATTGTTTTGTTATTGCTGTGATTGTTTGCTTTTTCTTTTTTATGATATGAAATTAAGAGAAATAAGCAAAACAAAGATATTAATGATATTAAATGAATTAATAAGCAATAACAAAAAATGATAAAATTTGTTTAGTAGAGTACTAAGATGGGAGGTGGGGACTGATATTGTTTTGCTATTACAGTGGCAGGAGTAATTGTTGAAGGGAAAACAATATTAGTTCTTATGAAGTGATGGGATTAATTATGTCTGTTTTATCTATAATTTTCTGAATCTAGATCTATATATTTTAGGTAATGGGAAAGGGAACTTGCAGACCCAGGTTTAAATGGGATATACATAATGTAGTAACTACTATAAAGTTATTATTGTTTCTTTTTCTTCTTTTTTAAAGTGTTAACTCAAGGTTAAATTATGGGAATCTTAGGGGGGGATTAATTATGTGATATGTCTAACCACAGGGATAGCACCTTGAAATTGGCAATAATAGGAGTGTTGCATTGTTGTTGTTATTTTTAAAAAAATTATATTGGAAATGTGTGAATTTTTCAAATGATGAATTAAATATAGATGAGTAAATTGCAGACCTGATAGACTAAGAAGATAAAATATAATGAATATGAAGATATATAATGATGCATTAAGGATTTAAAGAAATAGATTAAGCAATGTATTGGAAAAATTATATAAGATAGGAAAAGCTTGATGATTAAAATCAAAGAAAATCAAGATAAGTTATTAAATGTGAAAGATGAATAGGAAATGAAAGTCTAGTTTGTAATGGAAATGTGTTAACCTGGAATCATGCTGTTCACTGAAAAAAGATTTTTCTTTCTTTCTCTAATATGTGAAAATTGAATAAAACTTTTGGAAAAGAAATTGGCAGCTGGTGAATGGAAGTCACATTAATCACAAATAAAATGCTTGCATTTTCAGATATGTACATGTCATGATTTGAAAAACTTTTTCAGTTTGTGATTCTCAAAGGCAGTGAAAGCCATAAAAAAGAGATTTCAGAACCAGTGCACTGTAGTACTCCCTACTGTGAGAAAATACTAACATTGGTTCTATCATAGATAATAAAAGTAGAAGATCATTGGATTGTGTCTAGCATGAGAAATACGTATCTTCCAGATTTGGGATCCATTAATTATACCATGAAGTTGTTTCTGATTCCTAAGCTACCACACAGATATTCTCTATGAGATGTTTCACCTAACATTTTATTCTCTATGAGATGTTTCCCCTAACATTTTATGAATTTTGGCCAGGTATATAAAAATCTCATTTAAAAAAAATTAGGACACATCCTGTTTTCGACAGTTGCCTATTCTTAATGAGCAACATTTAGATGGGCTACAGAAATATTTGTAAATCATAATGATTTCCCTATTGCAGGTTTCCATTGTGATGAAAATCCAATAAGCATAGTTCCCAATTCTTTTGTTGCATGGGAAAAATCCTGCGTGGTGATTCCATGCCACATCAGTCAAATGCTTAGTTCTGGAACAGTCAATGCCACAGGCATTGTGTGGAATTTTAAGCCTTTTGGAAACAATAGCTGGAGCAAAGGGAAAACTACCCTGTTGTACAACAGTTCTCAGAACTCTGGAACCATCACAACTGTATCTGATGATGCTTTACCAAGCCGGATATGGTTCCTTGGGAATTTAACAAATAGAGATTGTAGCTTGCTGATCAATCCAGTGCGAATGCTTGACAGTGGCACGTATGAAGTAAAGGTGATTGTTTCCGTTGACAAATATCCGTGGCAATTCAAGCGGTTCCTTACAGCTACCTTGAATGTTACAGGTAAGAAATGTGCAATATGAGACTCACCTGATAGAAAGCTCTGTTTTCTATCTCTCTGTGTATTTTTCCCCAAGAAGCATCTTTGGTAAATGGTAGCTTCTAGTATACAAATTAATGCAAGATTAAGGCCAGATGATGTGTATACAAAATGTGTTATGAGTTGACACTCACTAAGTTTTTATATATCTTGGTTCCCATCAGGCTTTCTTATCCCTCATTGCCTTTTAAAAAAAAAATCTTCCCTCTCTTTTGTTTATATTTTGGATCATCTTCAAAGCTTCAGGTCAAGGAAGGATAACAGAAACAGAATTCAATTTATCACAGAATCATAGGGTGTTCATCCCAAAGTGCATAGCTAAATGTCTGTGGAGGTTCTCAGTCATCCAAGTCATGATTGGCAACTGGACTTTCTGGTTTTTCTTTGAAGATGTTTTCTTTACCTCCTCCTCCTCCTCCTCCTCTTCCTCCTCCTTCTTTTTCCTCCTCCTCCTCCTCCTCCTCCTCCTCCTCTTCCTCCTCCTTCTTTTTCCTCTTCCTCCTCCTCCTCCTCCTCCTCCTCCCCCCC